TTCAGAGCACACTTCAAAAACACAGTAAGAATTCACAAGTTTTGCCATATCAGCCAGGGTGGTTTTTCCTAGGGACCTTATCTTGATGTAGAGTCTTAAAAGTGACAACTGAACATTTCCGTAACCACAGTTTGAGGTAAACAACTGGAGAAAACTGCTAATGAGGCATCTCAAGTTTCTCCTGTCCTTGACAAAGAAAACATCTGAAAACAGGAAGCAGCACATGAGTGTTAGTTGGCTTTGCTTTGGTTCTGGGGTGCCTCTCTCTCCTTAGCATCCCTGAGTTCTCCCAAATTAAGAAAAAGATAAAAGCAACACTGCAGAGTAATTTCCTGCATCGTATTCTAATCTCCAAATGTTGATTTCTATTTATATCAATCTTAGTTCCAATACCTACTACTCCAGGTTGTAACAACTGGATTTTATAAAGCAGGTAAGTTGAGATGATGTAATCTTTTGTAAAATTGTGAAAGAGTTATTTAGTATTTATCTTTTCATATGGACAGAATAGTTGAGGTTCATGTTTTGCTGACATGATGGGGAATACTTAATTTATGTGTAGTACGTGCATGCTAAGTCACTTCAGTCATGTCCGACTCTTTGTGACCCCTGTAGCCCACCAGGCTCCTCTGTCCATAGGATTATCCTGGCAAGAATACTGGAGCAGGTTGCCATTTCCTCCTCTGGGGGAATCTTCCCAACCAGAGACTGAACTCACACCTCCTGCATTGGCAGGTGGATTCTTTACCACTGTGCCACCTGGGAAGTGGTGTGTAAATTATATCTCAATTAACCTGACTTAAATAAATAAGAAAAAAAATATATGTATATATAAGTACACAAATACTCATACAGAAGGAGAAGAGGGAGTCAGAGGATGAGATGGCTAGATGGCATCACTGATGCAATGGACATGAACTTGGGGAAACTTCGCCTGGCATATTCCATGGGTCACAAAGAGTCAGACATGATTGGGTGACTGAACAACAATGACAACATACAAATAACACTGATATATATAATGTTCACTTAAAGTGTGCATATATGTATTAAATGTGGGAAATTGCTACTTCACTCATAATTTTAAATTTTGTTATAATTTACAAGGGGCAAAAATTATGAGTGTGATAGTGATTCTATATACTGATTGCCTATAGGCACACTTTCAATGAACTATGTATACAGTCTTGTAGAACTTTTTTAAACCTTTGCTGTTTGTTTTATTATATTAATGGAAATGTAATTTTTATCCGTTGAACCTAATAAACATTGCAATTTGTGTTTTGTATGTCTTTGCTTTCTTCGTTTGTCTGGTAATTCATTTTTATTGCATTTGGCTAATTAATGGGTCTGTTGTTGAATAGGAATAAAGAAAAGGGAAAACTGGTTCTTCAACACAGATAGTTACAGAAGCACTATTAAGGGGACTTCCTTGGTGGTCCAGTGGTTACGAATTTGTCTGCCAATGTAGTGGACACAGGTTCAATCCCTGGTCTAGAAAGATCCCATGTGCCTCAGAGCAACTAAGCCCATGTGCCACAACTACTGAAGCCCTCCGTGTGCCTAGAGCCTGTGCTCCGCAACAAGAGAAGCCACCACAATGAGAAGCCTTTGCATCACAATGAAAAAGTAGTCCCTGCGAGCTGCAACTAGAGAAAGCTTGTGCGTTGCAACAAGGACCCAGCACAGCCAAGAAAGAAAAAAGCACTATTAAGGCCAGTGTAGAGGCCCATGCATGTGTGTGTGTGCGCACACGCATTAGTTGTTTCCCTTGTAATTGGTCTGGATCACTGTCCATCCTGCAGATTCGATCTCTTCTTCATATGCAAGCAGCAATTCTAGTAATCCACTAAGTCTCAAAATCATTTCCCAGTATAATTCTCCCGGCAATCTGTGACTAATTCTCAACTCTTTCGGAAATCAGAGGGGAAAGGATATGATCAGCTATCTCAAATCCCAACACAAAGATCCTTTCAATTTTAAAATCCTAAAATTCTATTGGGAGTTTATTTAAAACAGTGCTTAGGGTGTTTGCCAGCGTGATTGCACAGAGAAGTTTCCTTAACCTAGTCCTTTTCACCAATCCTAGGTACTTTCCCTCAACTCAATGGTAACAGATGCCTACTCTCTATAGGGCCCCTATTCAGGCCTATAATAGAAAAGATGAGCAAGGCAGAGTCTGTCCCCTCATTCCAATCCCAAAGAAAGGCAATGCCAAAGAATGCTCAAACTACCACACAATTGCACTCATCTCACACGCTAGTAAAGTAATTCTCAAACTTCTCCAAGCCAGGCTTCAGCANGCTCAGTTGTGTCTGACTCTTTGTGACCCCATAGACTGTAGCCCACCAGGCTCCTCTGTCCATGGGGTTTTCCAGGCAAGAATACTGGTGTGGGTTGCCATCTCCTCCTCCAGGGATCTTCCAGACCCAGGGATCAAGTCTGCGTCTCCTGCATTGGCAAGCAGATTCTTTACACTGAGCCACCTGGGAAGCCAATCCCAAAGTCAGTAAGATCCAGAATTACCAGGAAACATTCAATTGTGTTTTCTTCCTTAGGTAACAAAGTAGTGCCAGAAATGTTACGAAAATTATATGATTACAATAATCAAAATAAACAACTCATCCCTTAAATTTCAGTAAGGTAAGCATTAGTTTTACCCAAACACCAAATTCCTCAGAGTTTTTACTCCTATTGATTAAGGCTTTCACTGCCCACTTGGAACTGTTATCCAAGAAGGATAAAACCTCCCTTCCCAAAGGGAATAATTAGTTTGATATTGATACATCCTTGTTTTCTCCCATTGTCTTGGCTTTTTTGCTCAAAAATTTTCTGTACTTACTTGCTTGTTTATAGATTTTTCTGTTGAGATAATAGACATAGCCCCTCTGGTTTATTGCTTTTTTCAAGTAGTGGAATGCAAGGTTTATATAGAAATCTTAATTTCCAGGCTTTTCCTCTGCTGAAATGTTGAAGGCCAGGACCTTAAGAGACAATGATCTAAATGGCTTTCATTTTGAAGCTAACAGTTCAAAACCCAACCATTTATAAAGAAGTTCTTTCTAGAATTTGCCCCAGTCCCTGGGAAAGATTTGACTTTCCTAATGAGCCATGTACCTCCATTTACTATAGAATAGAAATTCTGTAATTTATTCTATTTTCTTTTGGCTTAAGCTAAATAACTATGTCTCTAGATCTCAGTTACTCAGCTGCTCCTCTATATGGTTTTTTCACTTCTCTTTTTACCTCTCTTGCAACTTTAATCTGCCTCAAAACTTCTGTGTAAGTGAGCAGGTATACAGCACTCAAGAGTAAACATTAACTTACTAATGGCAGGTTAAGAATGGATTCTATTAATTCCTTCCTCTCCATTCACTACTAATTGTATAATAACCAGATTTTGAGGTGTTTCAAGTGCCTAGATTTATTTCTTTTAGTGAAATCCATCTATTGATGCAATCAGGTAGAAATACTTATTCAGATAAAATTAGATATTATTTATTCTTTCTCTAAAAAATCAGAAATAACTTACTAGGTTTCTGAAAATAATTTTTAAACAAAAATCTTAAAAATTTGCAAGCAGCTAAATCCAGGCAGTCAGTAATAGCACTCCCCAAGAAAATACTAGTAAAAATTTTGAAATTAGTCTTTAAGAGCAAACAAACAAAATATACAAGATATTTGAACAACATGAATAATAAGCAACATGTTTTCTTAAAGACAGCACCAAAAATTTTAACCTATGACCAAAATCTGGAGTTCAGGTTTACCTCTGAATACAATCTCATCAAGGGTGATCATATTTCCAGTATCTCTTTACACCTCGGTAATAAAACAATGTGAGCGGACACTGGAAATGTCTGCAATCCCATTCTGAAAGTTGGTCTTTTACTAAAGCATCTTCAGTTAAAAGTTCTCCAGCTGGTATTATTTACTGTGGTCAGGCGACCAGAGAGCGGGGTCCCTCACCTCAGGGTCCTGGGATGTAAATTAGAGAGAAGGCACAAGTGAACTGAGGTTGGTGGTCATTTGAGATTCTGATGGACATTTGTCTACTTCACAAAAGCCCCCTACAATTGGGCTCAATTTGTCACAACTGACAGCTTTTGCTCTAAAGAGGCCCAGATCTGGAGTGGCACAGATGTTAACAGTTTTTCCCTTTCCTCAGTTTGGACCACAGGGACAAAATTCACAGAGTTGATAATTCCAAGTAACCTGCAAAACCTCAACTATGCACCTCTTCCTATCTCTTTTCAGAGATCACTGATGTTGTTCCAATCCGTTTCCTTAGTGTGAAAGCCATTGCCAGAACCAACCAGCAGGAGACCTACAGGCACACAATAATTTCATGAAGCATTAGAAGGACTCTAAAAAATACAAACTGAGAGGGCATCTTCACACGAGTCTCTGAGCTTTTAGAAGGCAGAGCCCAGCCTCATTCACAGTGTTCAACTGGGTGGACCACGCAATAGTCCCTCTGTACATGTTGCACAGAATTGACAGAGGACCTTGACATGTGGTCTCAATGAGCCCATTTCACTTAAGTCTCCCTTACACTGGTTTCAAAGAAGTTCCAATTTGTTACCAGACATCTACAGCAGGGGCCATTAGAAGGTATAATCACAGGGGATTCTTGTGGCAAAAGCCATCCAACTCCTGTGTGTTTTGTCTGTTCCCAGAAAAATGGTTGAGGAAAACAAAAATTTTTGTGCAGGCACCTTGCAGTGAGTAGAGTTTTCATATAATTGTCTTAAGAGTAATTGAATCTGTCTTTTAACAACTCACAAATTATCTCCTGACAACTTGAAATAATAGACTTTTTTGTTAAAAGGAAAAGCCTGTGGAGACCAAAGGTTAAACAGGTCTTTTCATCATGATAAATCACTGGTTAATGAGGTCACTATTGTTGGGTATTACGACCATTCCCTTTAATGCCACTACCTCCTGGTTGTAAAGCTGACACTACCAATGGGCTGCATTCTTTGAACTTTTCCACAATATTGACTGGCTTTTCTGAGCAGATGTTCCTTGCATGTGATTGCAAGAGGTTCTACAATTCTCAGTCAAGGAAACAGCTTCAGACAAGCTTATGGAATCCAGACGGTCTAGGCTTTGGCAGAGACGAGGTAAGAGGGAGCAGGAAAAAAGAACACAAATTTTAATTCTGTGATAATAACATCAATTTGCCCCATGTACCTGAGGTGATATTATGTGGCAACTAGCATCAGAGAGCTTAATGAATGGTTATTCATTAGAAATAAGGTGAAAAGTGCAATTAATACTTGGATTTCTCCTTACACGTTACAATAGCATACATCTTCTCAAGTTGATCCTTACACAAATTCTCTATGTTTCATTTATTAATACTACTTTTAGATGGGGAGACTGAGAACCTTAGAGAATTTCTTTTTCTAGGTCTTGCAGATACTAGGTGATAAGGAATTGTTGACACCAAATCTCATGCTCTGTCATACACACAGCCATTGACAACCAGAAGAAGAAATTAACTCATTACACATTAGACTCCGGTAAGTATTAATAGTCACTTCAGATGTTTCTTTTAGAAACAACAATTCCACAAGAGTTGTTTTTCATTTGCACTCAATGGCTGAACAGAAACAGAACTATATAATTTTCACAATAGAAAAATTTTAGAGAGATTGTAATTCCCAATTACATAGGGAACAGAGGCCCAGAGGCAAGTAACTTAGCAACTCTCATAGCCAGATGGTGAATGAAGATATCATGAATGTCATATTTGCAGCAGCATTCTTAGAGCAGAATTGCTTCAGGGCACATTTACAATTTTCTGAATCACAAAATCTCCCTTCCTTAATTTTTTCTTGTTGTTGCAATGTGTTGCTTTGTTTGTCTGAATTAAAAATGAAAAATGGAATTAATAAATCAGATATACTGCTAATATGAAATCAAATACGTACAATGCCTTTCAAATACACATTGTTACTATTATGTAGGCAGGACGCCCAGATATTTTGGCATGAACTACACATCTCTTAACATCTGCTACCCACTGCCTTTGTGAAAAAAAGAGGAAAATGAAGCAATGCCACTGCCATCACTGGAGAGCCAGCAGACATTCAGTTGAAAAAAGTGCGTATGAATTTATACCACTTCTGTTCCATAAAATTTTGAAGCACTGGAATAACTTAAATGTTTTACTTTTTGAGTTATTGAGAAAGAACTTTTCTCATAGGGGAATAATCTAGAATCACTGATGTTTGCTCCCTTTTCCCCCTCACAGTGAGTAATGACATCTACAACATTAGCCAAGCTTTGCTACTTCAATTGGTTTTTTTTTTTACATTTTTTACATGTTTTAAAGGTTTTATTTTATATTGGAATATAGCCAATTAACAATGTTGTGATGGTTTCAGGTGCATAGCAGAGTGACTCAGCCACACACATACATGTATCCATTCTCCCCCAACTCCCCTCCCGTCTAGGCAGCCACATGAGTCCGGACATCACGGTTTGGGTTTGCATCACTTCTGGGGGATACCGATGAGATTTAGGGAGGATTAAAAAAGAGACTTTAAAAAATGGGAAAGCAAGAGAACAGCAGCATATTGGATGTTCATTAAGGGCAAAGACTATATCCACTTCTGTATCTGGCAGATAGAAGGCATTCAATCCATGTTTGTTGAATTAACTGAATAGGTACAAAAGCACAAAATCATAAATGAATACTTCACACATACTCTATAGGTAATGGTTTAATTATTATACTTCAGGCTTCCTTTCGAAAGCTGCTGCTGCTGCTTACTTCAAATATCTATTATCACAACTTCCAACTGTCAATCAGGTGGGGAATCATTTTGTCTCTTTTGACAGATGAGGAAAGGAGCCACTGAACAGCAAGCAAACCATATAAAAAAGGAAATACTGATTTCAACTGAATCTTGCTCCATCTTCTCAAAATCATAAAAGGGAAACCATCCAAAATAAAACTGACAAATTTAATACAGTAAGAGGCAGTGTTGGTTGTGTATGTTCCTGCCAAGAGGGAAAGGTTTCCATTTTGGGGGAACAATAACAACAAAAAAAAGAGTCAAAAATCTTCCCTCTCACACAACAAAGGATAACACGTGGTATTGAAACAGGAAATTAATCTCCCTAGTGCTTTGTCTTTGTACTGTCAAAGACTCTGATATGGGGGAAAACTCTAGGTGTCTGGAATCCCATATCGAAGCCCTAATAATGAGCTGTTTTTCACTTTTTTTTTTTTGAGAACAGCAACCCTGATCTGCAGGGGGGATTAGGCAAATGTTCATTAGAAGGGCTTAATCTCCAAACCTAAACTCAGACTAGGCCTAGTCCACATTCACATGAAATCTGAAAAAAAAAAAACAAAAAAAAAAATAAAATAAAGAGGAAGTCAGGCACATTTCAGGATGTTTTGAAATACATGGGTATTAAGTCCTGTCTTGGTAAAACAAATATTCTGCTTAATTTCATTTTTCACCACATTCAGGTATCATACAGAGTCTGAATTAGAGACTAAACTTCTCTCACTTTAAGGGATTATAGTGTTTCAATAATCAAATTAACTTAAATAGGTGATTTCAAGAACGTGGCTCAGGTCAGTGGACAGAGAAATAATGAGAGGATGATAGTTAACATTTTACTTGAACTCACCACAATGTTGTACTGTGCTATCTTTGTCAAGCGTAGTTATCCTCATTTTAGATGAGGAAAATCAGATTCTGATGGGTGAAAGGAGAGGTGAGCATGTAACATTACTAGGGAAACAGTCTTGCCTCTCTGTTTCTATGATTCTGGGACTTTTTTTCCTTTTGACAGCTCACTGCAGTGGTCAGCAGTATGGTGGTTATGTCTGCAGTGCTTTAAAAAATTTCAATATAATCTTGTGATAGACAAGATGGGTCAGATAGCTTAAAGTGTACAACTCCAGGGGTGGTCAGCCCATGTCTAGAAGGTATACTGCCCAGGAGCAGTTGGCTACTACTATCTCAGAGAAGATACATCCCAGAGGAGGCCAGGTCATTCCTGATCGACAACTCACATGCTGCTAACTGGAATACAGGCTGTCAAAAAGGGATATTGTTAGTGAAACTAGTATCCTGTTAAATAGAATAAGTGTTAGAAAATGGGTTTGCATTCTACATAAAGGGATGGGCAAAAATAGTTTAGGGTCTCTCTCCATCTTTGTATGAACAAGGTGTAAGAATTCACTGGGGGACTTCCTTAGCAGTCCAGTGGTTGGGACTCTGAGCTTCCAATGCAGGGGACACAGGTTTGATCCCTGGCTGGGGAATTAAGATCCCACATGTTGTATGGTGCAGCCAAAAATAAAATAAAAAGCACATGCCACCAGGGAAAAGAGCATCTAAAAAAAAAAAAGAGAATTCACTGAGGCACTGCAGGAGCAAGGGGATCCAAAGACCCTGAGAAGTTTGTCTTCAAGGAGAGCTAGAAGACAGGTACACAATCCGTCAAGCATTCCAGGACTCACCCCTGTGATTACTTAGTATCCACCTTCAGCCATACTGTAGCCCCAATCTATAGATTAAGTTCTGATCTTCAAATTCCGAATCAAAAAGATTCAAGGAACCTTAGTCTGAAATTTGGAGTTTAAGCATCATCAACTTTCCCACATGTCTGGGGTTGACTTTGGGTGGCCAAGGTTTTGACAACTTGGCTTTTTCTTCTTCTTGGAGACTTTGTAATATGATCACAACTTGGCTACCTGGGTAAGGATCCTCCTCAACAGTCATTCCAAACCCAGAGTTTGGGTCCTGCTCTTGAAACACAGATTCCAGCCAGGAAAGTACAATCTCCTTAAGTTTGCCTAAGACAGTCCTAGTTAATGCCTATTGACACAGTGTCATTATTGTGTAATTATTAATAGCACTCCAATTCCCTCTTAGAAGTGTCCTGGTTTGCATAAGAAATTATATGTTCACTCTTCCCTTGAGAACAAAAGCCTTCTCTTCTTCAGCATTATATTCCTGGGACTTGGCAGGGAGATGGGATTCAATATGTATCAGCTGAAAGTGAAAGTCACTTGATCGTGTCGAACTCTTTGCAACCCCATGGACTATAAGTTCAAGGAATTCTCCAGGCCAGAATATTGGAGTGGGTAGCCTTTCCCTTCTCCAGGGGATCTTCCCAATCTAGCGATCAAGCCCAGGTCTACCACATTGCAGTCAGATTCTTTATCAGCTGAGCCACAAGGGAAGCCCATGTATAGGCTGAAGGACTGAGTTAAGTAAATGAAAGAGTATGTCACAATGTGTTACCTGGGGCCAGTCTTCCCTGATATTACTACTGCTTAAGACTTGCAAACACCACTTGCCTTGACTTTCAAATACATTCTTACATTTTCTGCAGCCACTTAAATTAGACCAACTAGAAGTGCCTTCTACTGGCCAAAGCTGGGAAAATCTGAATATCAATGAGAGTAACAACATCAATGGGGTGAACGCATTAAATAAGATTAAGCTCAAAATTAAAAGTGATAAGCAAAAGATTCTAAAACAAAACTTCACTTGTGATTTTTGGAAGACCTGAGGAACCAATTCATTATTGAAAAACTCATACATATGGACTTCTCTGGTGGCGCACTGGATAAGAATTCACCTGCCAATGCAGGGGATGCAGGTTTGATCCCTGGTCCAGAAGGACTCCACATGCTGTGGAGCAACTAAGCCTGTGTGCCACAATTAACGAAGCCCACGCCTCTAGAGCCTGGACCCTGTAGTAAGAGAACCCACTGCGCTNTGGCTGGATGGCATCACCGACTTGATGGACACGAGTTTGAGTAAACTCCGGGAGTTGGTGATGGACAGGGAGGCCTGGCGTGCTGCAATTCATGGGGTCGCAAAGAGTTGAATACGACTGAGGGACTGAACTGAACTGATACCTCACTGTAGGTCATCAGCTCCTGAGGGGACATTTGGCTTTATAAAAGGACACCAGCTAATAACCAAAGACTGAATAATGTATTTAGAGCATCAACGTTTTCCAACTTCTAAGGAAATAATGAGTCTAAGTTGGTTCTCAAATGGAGCAATTTTGACCTTCAGTAGACATTTGGCAATGTCTGAAGTCAGCTTTGGTTGTCACAACTGGGGAAGAGATGTGTATAGCATCTAGAGAATAGACACCAGGGATGCTGCTAAACTTCTGAAAATGCACAAGACAGTCCCCCACAATAAAGGATTATTTGGCTCAAAATGTCAACAGTGCTAAGGATGAGACACCCTGAAGTAGACAATAATCCGTAATGGTTGCAAATATTACAGACAAGCAGATACTGTGTCCCTCGTGATAGACATACATAGCACCTCTTACACAGTCATCATGCAAGAAAAACCAACCTTGCATCTGAGTAAACCTCTAGTTCAGGGGCTCTAGTAGGCATTCAGATCCCCAAGTGAGCTTGTAAAAACACAGACTTCTGGGACCCTCAACTGAAGTTGCTGATTGGATAGGTCTGGGAGGGTTCCGAGAGTCTGTATTTACAACAAGCTCTGAGGTGTTGGTGCTGCTGGCCCAGGCTCACACTCCAAAATACAAGTTTCAGTTTGCAAGAAATACAGAAGGTAGGGGAACATCTTAACTCATTATAATATTCATCCATCATACTCTTTATTATACTATTGGAGTTCATTATAATATTCTCTTCTGACCTGGGGGTGGGGGGCTCATCTAAGAGTGTCATATCGTTTTGTCTTTTCATACTGTTCATGAGGTTCTCAGGGCAAGAATACTGGAGTGGTTTGCCATTCCCTCCTCCAGGGGACTACTTTTTGTTAGAATTCTTCACAATGACCTATCAGTCTTGGGTGGCCCTGCATGGCATGGCTCATAGCTTCATTGAGCTTCATAAGTCCCTTTGCCATGACAAGGCTATAATCCATAAAGGGGTGTGCAATATGCTATGGGGAAGAGTGGAGGGCAATCACTAATAGCTCCAGAAAGAAAAAAGTGGCTGGGCCAAAGCAGAAATGATGCTCAGTTGTGGATGCATCTGGTGGTGACAGTAAAGTCTGATGCTGTAGAGAGCAATACTGCATAGGAACCTGGAATGTTAGATCCATGAACCAAGGTAAATTGGACATCATCAAGTACGAGATGGCATGAGAACACTGACATCTTTGGAGTCAGTGAACTAAAATGGACGGGAATGGGCAAATTTAATTCAGATGACCATTATATCTACTACTGTGGCAAGAATCCCTTAGAATAAATGGAGTAACCTTCATAGTCAACAAGAGAGTCCAAAATGCAGCACTTGAGTGCAACCTCAAAAACAGAAGAATGATCTCTGTTCGTTTCCAAGGCAAATCATTCAATATCACAGTAATCCAAGTCTATGCCCCAACCACTAATGCTGAAGAAGCTGAAGGGGAAAGGTTCTATGAAGATCTACATGGCCTTCTAGAACTCACACCAAAAAAGATGCCCTTTTCATCATAAGGGACTGGAATGCAAAAGTAGGAAATCAAGAGACACCCGGAGTAACAGGCAAGTTTGGCCTTGGAGTACAAATGAAGCAGGGCAAAGGCTAACAGAGTTTTGCCAAGAGAATGCACTGGTCATAGAAACAACAGACAACAACAATACAACAGACAACTCTACACATGGACATCACCAGATGGTCAATACTGAAATCAGACTGATTATATTCTTTGTGGCTGAAGATGGAGAAGCTCTATACAATCAGCATAAACAAGACAGGGAGCTGACTGCCTCAGATCATGAACTCCTTATTGCAAAATTCTGACTCAAATTGAAAAAAGTACGGAAAATCACTAGGCCATTCAGATATGACCTAAGTCAAATCCCTTATGATGATATAGTAGAAGTCACAAATAAATTCAAGGGATTGGATCTGATAGACCGAGTGCCCGAAGAACTATGGATGGAGTTTTGTAACATTGTACAGGAGGCGGTGATCAAAACCATCCCCAAGAAAAAAGAAATGCAAAAAGAAAAAATGGTTGTCTGAGGAGGACTTATAAATAGTTGATAAAAGAAGAGAAGTGAGGCAAAGGAGAAAAGGAAAGATATGCCCAACTGAATGCAGAGTTCCAAAGAATAGCAAGGAGAGAAAAGAAAGCCTTCCTAAGTGATCAGTGCAAAGAAATAGAGGAAAATAGTAGAATGGGAAAGACTAGAGATCTTTTCAAGAAAATTAGCGATACCAAGGGAATATTTCATGCAAAGACGGGAACAATAAAGGACAGAAATGGTATGGACCTAACAGAAGCAGAAGGTGTTAAGAAGAGGTGGCAAGAATACATAGAAGAAATATACAAGAGATCTTAATGACCCAGATGATCACGATGGTGTGATCACTCACCTAGAGCCAGACACCCTGGAGTGTGAAGTCAAGTGGACCTTAGGAAGCATCACTGTGAACAAAGTTAGAGGAGCTGATGGAATTCCAGCCGAGCTATTTCAAGTCCTAAAAGATGATGCTGTTAAAGTGCTGCACTCAATATGCCAAACTCAGCAGTGGCCACATGACTGGGAAAGGTCAGCTTTCACTCCAATTTCAAAGAAAGGCAATGCCAAAGAATGATAAATCTGCTGCATAATTTCACTCATTTCACACATTAGCAAAGTAATGCTCAAAATTCTCCAAGCTAGGCTTTAACAGTACGTGAACCGAGAACTTCCAGATGTTCAAGCTAGGTTTAGAAAAGGCAGAGGAACCAGAGATCAAATTGGCACCATCTGTTGGATCATAGAAAAAGCAAGAGAGTTCTAGAAAAACACCTACTTCTGCTTCATTGACTAAAGCCTTTGACTGTGTGGATCACAGCAAACTGTGGAAAATTCTTCAAGAGATGGGAATACCAGATCACCCTACCCGCCTTCTTTTGTTTTGCCTTTTTAGTATTAAAGATATCCTCTTTTATTCTAAGAAAGTTACAAAAATGTCCCTGGAAACTGTATTTCTAATTGTCTATTCTGTGTCCATCTTAGTGTCCTGACTTAGTGGAAAGAGTGTCTCCCAGACACAGCCCCTTGAAGCCTATAGCAACCTGCTGTAAGTCTTGGGCAGTCCTAAGCTCTATTTATGAAATGACACAAAATGACTATCACACAAGACACCCTGAGAACTCACGGATATTGTCACTGGGGTTGACCAGAAGGAAAGACCACCTCCTTCCCGATGTAAGAAATAAGGGAAGGCGGCATGGAAGAGGAAGGGTCAGTTGATTCAGAACCGGAAGTGAATGCATAAGATTATGACAGCTGGAGATGCAGTAGATAAGACAGACAAATGAAAAGTCAGTCACTGCAATAGATGCAATGGTGAGTTCAGCATCTGCTCAGAGGCTGGCAGGAGCATGGGAGCCCAAGAAGCTTGTAGGAGATGTAACGAAGTGGAGACACATCGTGAAGGATGGAGAGTGCTCAGAAGATTATGTGTCATGAGTGTCTTTTGCTTTTTCAAAGGACTTGCCTTATTTTGGAAGCCTCACCTACATAGCTCTCTTGTGTAGGTCTAGTTCGTGCAGGTTCTTTTCTACTTCCTTTGCTTTTGATACTGCAGACAATCCCCTTCTCCCTCTAATGTGGACAATTCTCTCCTCAAATAGGTAAGTGTATTCTTTCCTTTCCACAAAGACTGCCCGTTGCAACACCACCCCCAAATGCATGGGGTCCCAGCTTGAAGAACAAACTGCAGAGATGGCCAGGCCAGGCAGGTTCCGTCAAGTTCTCCACTGCCTTGCACACATTCCTGACCAAGGCTGCCCCAGCTGTGCGCCTCACTGAGGAAAGTGGCTGTGACCCTCAGCTCCTTTATTGGGTTTCCAAGTGAAAGAAATAAATTTGGTTAAAAAAAAAAAAAAAAAGCTCATTTCATGTACACTGATTAGCATAAAATTGCTCTTTTGCTCAGCTGCTACAGCGGACAACGGCGCTGAGACTCCTGGCTGGGAAGACAGTCCCTCTCCTTCCCTGCACAGTGGCTCAGGTCACTCCACACAAAAACCCCAGGGAACCAGGATCAGCTAGACTTCCAACTGCAAGCACCAAGAAGGGACCTCTGGCCTCAACTTCCTTCATCTCTAGGACAGAAAATATAAAACATGGACAGGACGAAACATGCACTTTCCTCTCCAAAGTGCAATTTCTACCTCCCGTCAGGAGCAGAAGCTTAAGAAAGACATGGGCAACTTTATTCACTCATTTCCTCTTTTATTATTTATGCAGTGGCTACTGCCTAAGTCCTGATTGGCCCTGACTCTTGGCATCTGAGAAAGGGATGAGAAAGCAAAACAAGTCACCGCTTTTTCCAAGAAGAACTTGGAAGGAATTACCAGCCCTATGATGCTGAAATCCAAGTATATGTGTTTGTGTGTATACATATATGGGCTTCCCTGGTGGCTCAGTTGGTAAAGAATCTGCTTGCAATGTGGAAGACCTGGGTTCGATCCCTGGGTCGGGAAGATCCCCTGGAGAAGGGAAAGGCTACCCACTCCAGTATTCTGGCTCGGAGAATCCCATGGACTACATAGTCCTTGAGATCACAGAGAATTGGACATGACTGAGTAACTTTCAATTCACTATATATATATGTGTGTGTGTGTGTGTGTGTGTGTATGTGTGTGTGTGAATATATATATTTGACTCTGAAGTATGCACTTTCCTACATTTTAATCTCCTAAATAGGCAGAAGTCCTATGATTAACAGCACAAAATTATAAGTGGCAGGAATTTTTTTTTCTTGGTGGCACATGAAACTGTGTGTGTTTAATAATTGAGAATATCTTGGATTGGATTAAAAAACCAGTAAAAGTCAATGACAGACTATTAGAAATTGATAAACAAACAAACAAAAAATCCGTGTTTTGACAAGCTCTGCACATCTCAAAGGAATTTCCTTTCTCATTCCTGTCCTCCAAAGAATAGTTTTCCGGTAGACAGAATTCTGTTTTATCAATCTGAAAATGAGATGGTGTATCTCAAATTCCCTAAGACTACTGGTTTCTAGCAAAACTGCATGGAGACAGAATCAACTTTAGGCAGACAGAGCTGGTTCTAACTTCCATTTCTGGTACTCACTATTTTTTTCTTTTTGAAGCTTCACTTACCTACTCTATAAAAGATTGATGACATTTCTTTCCTAGAGATGGGATAAAGCCTAGCATGTAGGAGATGCTCAACAAAAGTTTCTTATCTATTAATACAGAGTTATTTGTGATACCAGATACATAACTGCCCAGAAGTTCATGCAATCTGCAAAACACACCAATCAGGTATATGAAACTGGTAACTTAAAGCAAGGTCACATGGTTGGTGAAAGAGATGGGGCTGGGGGTTCTGAACAGTCTAGAGTTTTCTTTTCTATCCAACAGCCAACTCTGTCAAAATTCTCATCACAGATCCCAAGACCTGTACTCTGGATCCTAAAGAGCCCCAACCCACTCAAAAAGTGAACAAACAAATCCAGAAAGTGACATGAAAATGGCTAGGTTCTTTAGAAGACATTGACTGATTCTAGTGAGCATCTGTGTGAATTATCGTGTCAAAAATGCAGGGGTCATAATGAGCTCTGATAGGATCCGATGCCTGTGACCCCCTCCCCCTGACATCCTCTGGGGGCCACCAGTCCTGGCCCGACACAGCTGCTGCGCTACCCCCAGTTCGCAGCTATATTGACACAGCCATTTTCATGGTAGGCCTGTTGTAAATTTGTTGTTACATGGTGCGTCTGCCCCAAATTGCACGGTGTACGTAAATTTTTGTGTGTGTGGCGGGGCTGGCACGGGGGTTGGGGGGGTACCGGGGCTGAATGGAGCGTGTGATGAGCAACCCGCAGGAGACCTAACCCTGATAAATTGTTTACTTGTTAGCGATGGGGCTCAAGAGTGGGCCGGGGGCTGCGGGCTCAGCGGGACGGACGTAGAAGGTGGACCCACGCCAATTACCAGGCATTGTGGCGTCCCACCCTGTGATTGACACCAATGTCTCCCCTCTCACCATGGGTCCTTTTACTCTCCCAGACCCAACACAAGCCCCACTGTGCTAATACCATGGCGTCTTCAATTTCCTCTGTTGCCTGCAAAAATTAACCTAGGCCTGCAGCCTGTGGAAGACCTAAGGCCTCTGTTTTATTATGCATTTTCCCCCAGTTTTTCAAGGATGAGTTAAAAAATAGAGGTTGCTAAGGCCAGTTGGACAACAAAGGAAGCAAGGGGACAAACATTATCTTTGGATGACTGACTTCAAAGTTAATGATCTTCCCCACTGAATTGTGCCCTCCGCTCCTCAATGAGGTCTTTGCCATCAGATAAAGAAGCGCCTCTTTAATCCACTAACACTTCTTTGTCCCTTTGTGGCAAAATGATCATTTCATCAGTTTCGGGTACTCTCTGCCGGGAGAGTTTTTTTTTAGCCTGAGTGATTCAGAGCAGGAGGGACAGAGAAGGGTATTTCTCTACTTCATTTTTCCTCAAGTGACGGCTGAATAACTATGCAAAAAAATTAAGGCATAATGACCCAGCAACAGTGACAAAACCTAATTAGTCACGGAGGCCACTGGGTAATGAGCCGCAAAACCCGGCTCTTGAGTGTGTAATAACTGTATTTTTCTCCATTTCTTCCCCTTTAGTCACAGCCTTGTGTGGCATTTTTAACAAACTAAAATGGCACCAGATGCAACAGGGTTCAGACATTTTAACTTGAATTAAGAAACCATATGTTCCGATAAGTCATGGTCTCTTCTTTCCCACAGACTGGGTGCTCCATCTGTGAGGTAAGACTCCGATGGCCCATGGTGAATGAGCACCCCACGAACATGATGAGGGGTTGGGGTTGGGAGTGGGGTCTCCAGGACCCTTGCTATAGACAGCAGTTCTGACTCCCGCCGGCATCCTGGATATTCCATATGTGGGGCCCAGATTGTTCTCTGAGCACACTAAGACTGAGAAGCTTGAGAGGGAGAGCGGATGGTAGGGGGCTCTGTGTCCAAATAATAGAGTCTGGAATGCTGAGAACTGCCTTTAACCCTGGTGGCTCAGGTGGGAAAATACCGCTTGCAATATAGGAGACCCAGGTTCAATCCCTGGGTTGGGAAGATCCCCTGGAGGAGAGACTGGCAATCCACTCCAGTATTCTTGCCTGGAGAATCCCATGGACAGAGAAGCCTGGCGGGCTACAGTCCATGGGGTTGCAAGGAGCTGGACATGGCTGAACAACTAAGCATGCATTTATGACAACGTTATCCACTTTGGGGTGATTTAAGACACATATTAGCCAAGTCTGAGGCTCCCAAGAGCCTTGAGAAGTAGGATGGTCCTCGTCTCCTCCATCTTTTTGAGATGAAGCAACCAAGGATCAGTGAGATTAGGACACTGCCCGTGATCACAGTTAGGAGTGCAGGCATCAAGCTTTGAAGTCACACCTGAGATCATCATCCCAGTAATTTTCCTATGTTTGTTGTCATTATTATTGTTGTTAGCAGTAATTTCCCTTTGCAGTTAGAGTATTTTTTAAAGGGTGGAAAGTTTACATAGCATAGTTTGGCATGATTTCTGTCTTCAACCCTCAGATCCAGAGTCAGTTAGGTAACAGGTCTTTAATAAACAATGTTTATTTGGAGCGGGGCATCATGAGGGGTGTGCCCTTGTTCCTGCTCTGATTTTAATGTGAGACACTTCCAAACCCCATCCAGGCAGATGCTGCCCCACAGTGTAAACTTTCATTTCTCCTCTGTCTCAGTGAAGGTCATCTTACTTCTGGATGTCACCAACTTTGGGGTTGCAACTGGGCTTAGAAATAACAGGCATTATGATCTTTGCTCTGAGCCACAGAAAGACTGACTTTTCTTTTGTTCCTCCCCATACCCAGCAGACCAAGAAAAAAACCTTCACAAGATGAATCCAGCTCCCCCTAGATTTCAATAAGGATCTCATTTCCCCCTGAGCCTCCGGCCGGGGAATCACATAGGGAAAGCTCAAATGAGGAGTCCCACGTGGAATACAGAGTATAGAATTCACCAGAAGACAAAAACACAGGTTTGGAAAAAATCCCCTCCTTGGGGAATTTTAAAATATCATGCAGCTAAAAAAAAAAAACCAACCCAGCAGCAACTCTCTCCCTATAACAGGAACAATGCATGCTATGAAAACATAAGCAAAAACAAAAAACAGATTATACAACTCAAGGATTTATATAATACACATTATATTTTAATTCCCCATATAATTCTGACACAGCAAAGGCCTGGTGTCTGGGACTGTATAAATGTGACAGCTCTCTGCTTCTCTAATCCAAGAGCAGCTGCATAAGGCAAAATAAAAATGTGGCGACCCCTGCTCAAAACTTCTCAAGGATTTCAAGACAGAGCATTAAACGAGGTGTGGGCCCTTCCACGCCTTGGGTCCCGTGTGACTGCACAGGTCACATACCCATGGAACCAGCCCCGGAAAGCAAGCTCACGCATCAGCGTCCAGGTCGCAAAGGCACACACGAGACAACCACGAACAGTGGGGCCGAGAAGACCGCCTTGCATTATCCTGCCTTCTCACTCAGAGCGGTTCAAAGCTGACTCTTTTTCCTCTAAACTTTGAACTTCAGAAAGCCTACTTTAGCATCTCAGAAGTACTGTATGTAAAATGGGGAGTTTCTCTGTGCAGACAATGCCATTTCTTCTTGACTCTTCTCCGGAC